TGGAACGTGGTAAGTGGTTCAGAGAACTGCCACGATGATGTGATGATGCTGGCATATGTATGATGCCAATTTCTGTGGATGAGAGTGCAGGCTGTCGCTGCCCGTGAAGCATACCCTGAGATGTTGGGGACTGCTAACCTAGATGGAGGGCTGAAAGGGGAGGCAGTGAGCTGGAGCCACCAAGTACCTGTTCTGACTTTTGTTGGTGACTATGGGAATGGAAAACTGCATATCAATGAGGCATTGAATGTAAATGCATTCAAACAGCAGCAAGTGGCTCACTAGCGAAATTCTCATGTCACCGGTCAAACATTAGTAGCAGAATCTTAATGTTTCTCTCAACATCAAGAATTTCATTTAAGCCAATCTCACCATATTTCCTCATCTGACTCATCACTGCCCACATCATTCAGGGGCTAGGAAGATTTCTCCCAAGGAATGAGTTTATAAGTCTACTGAAGTATAGGATCATATAAAGAGGTTAAAAAAAGTCCCTAATCCTGAAATGTATACACATACCATAGTATGAAAAGTTGAACAAGTTATAGAATGGGGAGCTGGAACTGAAAACTTAAATATCCATAAGTAAAAGCATTATACATTCTAAACTTCTTTTGGTGGCCTTTATATCCAGTGGCATTGTGGCTAATGTAAGCTGCTTGTTCTTCTGGAGACAGTCTCCTTTAAGCTGCAGTTGGTCCTTTTCCAAAGTGGTTGCTATGATACTTAAAGTTCCTTTTATTTTTAGATTTTTCTATCTCTGTGGCATAACTTGTAACAGAGATAGAGTCCAAGTTTGAAATATGGAGAGAAAGCTGCTGTTACTGCACCCTGTAAGCCTTCTTGATGTTATTCCCTCCTTATTCCCTGAGATCATGGCTGATTGGATAATCCTCAAAGCCACTTTCCTGCCTTTGCCTTGTAACCCTTGAATCCCTTAGTGATTCTATTTCAACTTTGAATATACTTAATGTCACAGTCTCAACAGTGGTAAAGAATTCTACATATTCACAGCCCTCTGACAGAAGAAATTGCTCCTCATCTCTGTCTTAAATGTGTGACCTTTATTTTGATATTTACCCTCTGGTCATAGACTTTCCCACAAGGGGAAACAATTTATCCACATCAGCCCTGACAAGTGCCCTAAGAATCTTGTAAGGTTCAATAAGGATGCCTCTCATTCTCCTGAATTCAAATGAGTACAGGCCCAATTTATTCAATCTCTCTTCATAAGACAGTTCCTTTATACCTGGTATCAGCCTCGTGAACCTTCTCTTGATTTCCTCCAATGCCAGTATACCTTTCGTTATATAAGGGACCAAAAACTGTATACAGTATTCCAGGTGTGGTCTAACAAGTATCTTGTATAGTTTTAGCAAAACTCTCTAGTTTTATATTCCATTCCCTTTGAAATAAAGGCCATCATTCCATTTGCCCTCCCTGTTACCCACTGAACTTAAGCTATGTCAGAGATTTTTAGAAAGATGGCCTCTCATATAAGTCTTATGACTTCTGCAGCCATTTTGCAAATAAAATGCCCTTACTCATTTAAAGGTGTTTTCTTTTAAACGAAATTCCCATGTAGTAGATAAGCCAACAGAATTAAAAGATTTATAATGCTTATATTGCAACTTCATGACAATATCAAAAATAATCATGCAAAAATTTGATCTCCTTTTGACATATTTCAAATGAGCATCTAATGAGCTATTAAAAAGACAAATCCTCATACAGTGTCTATTTCCCAACTCCTGTAGAGACAGTCACAGAAGGGACTGAAGTACACAGTGAAAATTTTTCACTCATAGTTCTTCCTGCTATTGTCATGATTCTATTTATCCTGCAGTGATCTCAAATCAGAGACTTTAAAAATATTTCTGTTTGCTACTTTGGGGAATGTTGTGTGATCAATTGTTGTCCTTTTCAAAAATAATAGTCATTCTGTGAAGCACTATTGGATATAGCTGATCTCATCATCATCTGTTCACACATTTATCTACCTTAATCAGTTCTTTTAGACATTGGTTAAACTGGAGTTAGATCTCTGAGCCTGTTGGGAGAAAATCAATATTAAAAATTAAGATAGTTGATTTGGTAACATTGGTCCAAAGTACAAGATGTTAAAAAGACATTATTCATTATAGATAAATATTGAAATTAGATTCTGTTGCATCATTATCTTCTGATGGAGTGTTACTATTGAGATCAAAAGTAATTCACATTTTTCTTTTGTGGTGTCAAATATGCGATGCATGTTGGACAATTATTATTACGTTGGGGACTATAAATATTAGGTAGTCACTAACAAATCCAATAAGAAATTCAAAATAAACTTCTTACTCAAAGCAGAAAGAATATGGAACTTGCTAATATTTGGAACGTAAAATAACATGAATACATTCAGGGGAGATAGTAAGAACTGCAGATGCTAGAGTCAGAGATAACACAGTGTGGAGCTGGAGGAACACAGCAGGCCAGGCAGCATCAGAGGAGCAGGAAAGTTAACGTTTCGGGTCAGAACCCTTCTTCAGAAGACCCTTTCTGGTTAATGGTGCAGAGACAACAGTACTACACGTCTGTGAAAACTTGAGGGAGAATATGTTGACATGAAGGATATGTTGGTGTTGTGCAATAAACTAAAGTTGGAGAGGGATTATTTGGAGCCTAAACCAAGGCATAGATATGATGAGCTCTACAGCCTGTTTTAGTTTAGTAAAATCCATATTACTCTGGATGTTCACATAATTACTGCAACATTGAGTAAATGAAACAAATGTGTACAAATTGTGGTTGGGGCTGGTGGGGTTATAAGGATGTGATATGTTATCCAGTTTGGGTTAACAGAAGATGCAAAACATCTAAAGGTATTTAACAAATGGGTTAAATTGTATTTTACTTTTAAAAAGACACATTCTAATCCAACATAATAGTTAATGGAAACAAATGCAACTTTTTTATATCTAAACATTATTAATGTATTTTATCAATTTGATTGTCACACCGCTTCCTTTCAATTGAGTCTGACAGGGTGCATCAAGTCATGCTATTTTTGTTCAGCCTTGCATCACTGAATTGAAATCTATCAATAGGTGGCATACTGTTCATATTAAAGGTCAGTAAATGACATGGGCTATCCACACAGTCCAATGACAGATTGTAATCTTAAATATTTGAAAAATGCGTCCAAAAGGATGACAATGTGTTTGAAATATTCCTCCTGATTTTACTTGGAGCAATAAGGATCCAGTGAAAACTTTCTGAGAATAAGCAGCGACATAACAATGACTAAAGCAGCTGAAGTGGGAAAAATGGGAGGTGCTGTCACAAAGGAACCAGTGAATAGATGGATTGAGACACATTTGCTCTCAGAATTCAGCCGGCAGCCTGAAAAAAGAAATGAGTTTCTCACTTCAAAATAAGAGTGTTTCTGGTCTCTGCACTACAAGGATTTGGGTTGAAACCTGTCTCCTGTAATGGTGCAAAACAGGCGATATTCAATCAGCTGCCCATTATACAAAGCATTTGATAGCCAGTTCTGTTGAAGTCAATTAAATTGAACATCAGACATTGCATACGATGGGCCAATTCAATAGCATCCATTTTGTGTCAGTGATCAAGACAAACTTCTATCCCTAGGTGCCATTGCAAACTTTAAAATCTACATATATTTTATTTCTCATCTTAACATCGTGACATTGTCAGCATTTATTACGTAGAATCTGAGAAATGTGCAGTGATATATTATTGCCTACTTTGTAATCCATCGGTAATAAAATTAAATTTGTAATTTTGTTAATTCTATGTATCAGTTGGAAATTCTAACCCATGTTTTTACCGTGCCATCAATCCAGCTGTATCAATGTATCAATCCAACTGGCTTGATGTGATTGTAAACTTACATTTATACATTCACCGGTTTCCCACAGAGTATGTACTGAGTGAGTTCCACCCCCAGGCAGGAAATTTTAATCATTTAAACACTTCGAGGTTGCAGGTGAGAATGTCCACATATTCAAAACAAAGCTTTTACCAAAATTCAGCCCATGATCATCAGACTTTGTAAAGCTCTCTTAACACCTTTCAGAGAGTGCAAAGAGTACCAATTCTAGCATGATGAGATTAGCTTGTATCCTGACCTTGGATTGTTGCAGAAAGAAAATCAGTTTGCAATGAAATATGCCTGACAGTATAACTCCATATATTGTAAAACTTTTATAGTTATACCAATAATATACGTGCATTCAAGAAACAGTGTGATGCACATTTAATGGAAGATTTGTAAATAGCATTCTGACAGATAATAGTACTGTAAATTTTTTTTAGAGGAGAATATCAATGCTGTGGTTACTAGACATGCAAATCAGCATTAATATAAAAATCCCAGCTAGATGAAAATATGACAGAACAGAAATGTACACTTTTGGTCCAGTCACCTTTAAACAAAGGTAGGTTGAGAGTCTGCCAATAACAACATAATTAAGTTACACAACAGCTATAATGTCAACATTGTTCTTTAGCAAACATTTTAAACATCTGCCACAATGGAAAACGCGGTGGTGGGAAGACTATTAGACGACAACAAGCATAGCCAACAAATGAATTTTGCTTTTGGGAATCCTGAGAAATGTATGTACACATGTATATTTTATATTCAGCCATATGATCTACTAAGGTATTTGGAGCAAACTTTGACATAGAATTGCACTAGCTGGTCACAGTGCAGAAAACTGCTAATCTCTCCTAGATTGTCTGAGTGAAGCTGATATGGTTCCCAGCAAAGAGAGGGGAAAATCAGAAAGATGTTCTCCAACCCATCCATCCATCCATTCAGTAATAAAGGTTATTGACAGAATCCTGACTTTACAACAAACAAAGGAGAACCAGTAGAACAGGAGAAAATGATATGCAAAATTCGGAGTTAATGCCAAAACAATTGAAATTATTAATGGTGATGACAGCATACTAAAAACGTATAACATGAAGACATTGTATGCATGCAGATAATGAAAATGAATTCAACACCACTATATGACATGGTGCTTTTGGATGCGGTGGTTGGGTTATCCAGTATATGCCACAGTATATGGACTGATGAGAAGAGGGACTCTTACTTTGATGAGAGAGTAAGTGATATAGCGCTGTAGTGATAGATCAATCATTCACCAAATGTCATTCTCTTACTGCGTGTACTATATACAAGCACTAAGTTCTAAAGTTTAACTTCTCAGTAAATAGCAGTATTAAAAAGGCTTCCATAGTGCTCGTACCAAGGCAACAAATCCTACAGGAATCTCTAATTAAGGTATGTAACCAAGTGATTTGTATTTGGTTAGAGAAAGAACACAAAAAAATGTTTATAAGGTGAAACTGAACTTATCTTCTATAAGTTGTTTTTGTTCTTAAGATAAATAAATATTAATGCTTCATATATAATTTTAAAATAAATTATTTATTATCAATATTATTGATATCTCTGTGTATAGGCATGTAGAGGAAAAAAACTTCATGTTTCATGCCTTTACAAATACATTTTTAAAATTATATCGTCACTGAGTTGAAGAAATTCGTTACAGAATTGTTATTCTTTGCATCTCTATATTTTCCTTATGTTAAAGATTTGTGTTTGGTTCTTAATCTTTTCTGCTAAATCATTAGCATTCACATTTGAACTAAAAATATAATGCAACCTTAGTTAAAAGGTTATATTTTACAGACTTAGAAGAAAGCCTGTATGAGTAAATTGTAAACATGTATAGTGAATTTAGTAAATTAATGCTGATCTGCAATCGATTGACCTACAGAGCCGACATCTGTGAGCAAGCCCCTGAATGCTTTTTCCAATTGAAAATACAGAATATGTTTTGGTAGTTACTGACAAATCAAACACATTTGATAAACCACTGCCTTTATCCTAAAAGCCTCTTGGCCTCCTGCAGGCTTACCATTGAAGACTGAATAATAGTCAAATAGATGTTAGTCATTACTGGATAATTCCACAGATTATTTATACTAGTACCGAGCAACGAAAGGTGCATTTTCCTGTCCCTGATACTCAGAAATGCAAAAGAAAGAAATGTCTTCTTCTCCAGATTATTGGAACTAATTAGTGATAAAATCATTGGTCCAAACAAATATTCTTTATTACAAGAATAATTCATTCATGTCTGGTGCAAAACTAAAAGAGGAAATTTGGCTCAACCATGGTTTACAAAACTAATTAGGGATAGTTAAAGATCCAAAGAGGAGACATACAAAATTGTCAGAAAAAACAGCAAGCCTGAAGATTTCAAGCATTCTGGGTTTCAGCAGTTTGATCAAGAAGAGGAAAATAGAATTTTTTGAGGATGTAACTAGTAGAATAGAACAGGGAGGCATGTGGATGTAGCATATTTAGATTTTCAACAGGCTTATTAAAAGATCACTCAGAAGAGATTAGTGACCAAGTTTAAAGCACAGGGGATGGAGAGAAATATATTGGCTTGGATCAAGAATTGGTTGATAGATAGGAAACAGAGATGGGAATAAATGGGTCTTTTTTCAAATGCCAGGCAGTAACTAGTGGGACATCACAAGGTCAGTGCTTTGGCCCCAGCTTTCCATAATACATATAAATGACCTGAATGAGTGAATCAAATGCAACATTTCCAAATTTGCAGATGACACAAAACTGGGCAGGATTGTGAATTATGAAGGGGATGCAAGGCTTCAAGGTAATTTAGACAAGCTGAGTGAGTGGGCAAAGGCCTGGTACAACATGGCTAAATGTGGCGTTATACACTTCAGTGTGAAAAGTAGAAAGGAAGAGGTTTATTTAAATGATGATACATTGGGAGATGTGTATGTACAAAGCCATACACTTTCCTTGTACACTAATCAATGAAAGTAGACCGGCAGATACAGCAAGCAATTAAGAAGACAAATGGTATATTAGCCTTCATTGCAGGAGAATTTAAGCTCTGACTGCTGTTATACAGGATCTTAGAGACCTGAAGCACTGTGTGCAGTTTTGGTCTCCCTATGAGGAAGGATATACTTGCTATAGTGAGAATGCAGCAGAAAATTACTAGTGTGATGCAGGGGAAAGCAGGACTGTTCTATGAGGAAAAGTTGGTTTGACCGGATCTGTATTCACCAGAATTTAGATTGATGAGAGGGGATCTGATTGAAACATATAAAATTCTAACAGGGCTGGAGAGACTATTCGCGAGGATGAAGTTTTCCATGGTTCAGGGTCTAGAACTAGGAGATACAGTTGCAAGAGACAATGTAGATCACTTAGGACTGAGATGAAGAAAAATAACTTCACTGAAAGGGTAACATTCACTACCACAGAAAGCTGTGGAAGCCAAGTCACTGAATATATTTAAGAAATAGATGGATGCATTTTCAGATTTTGAAGGCATCAAGGGGTATGGAGAGAAGGTAGGAATACAGCATTGAGATAAATGATCAGTCATGAGGTTGAATCGTGGAGCAGATTTGAAGGCTGAATGGCCTACTCTGTTCCGAGTTCCTATGCTTCTATGTTAATCCTAGTCAGGCATACTGCCAGTACATTGTGCTACTTTGAAGCAGATGATGTAATGGAACTTCCATTAAAATTCTTCCAAACTTGTTTTCCCAGGAAGTAATTGGCACTAGCATGATTTGATTTGTAGATCCGTGTCCACGCTTTCCAAACCATCAGCAGAAGCTAATCAATGCTTTTTAATTTTTGAAATGTGATGTGGCACAAGGATTAGAAAGTCTCCCCCTGGCCAGTCCAGCAAGCAAAGCTTAACCCTAATGACAGTGTCTTCACTGTCATCTCCTCTGACCTCAGTGCTAGACCGGACCACTCCTCATCTCTTCAATGCTTGACTTGTCATGCCTGGGACTGCACTTCAGTGACTGGCCATGAGCTGCAAATCTGCGACGGGCTTATTCACAAAGGCAAGTTTTCATGTCATTCCTGACAGCTTCAGGTTGGAGTCAGGATAGGAAATATAAATTGGCTCAGATCTCATAGAGCTCATATTCTGGGGGCTGGGACAGATTAAAATAAGATTATGGCGGCTAACTCGAAATGTTATTTCATTGCCTCGTCAGTCAAACAAGTGAGCATTACAACTATGTTTTCCATTTTGTGCCATTTTAAAATTCCGGCCTACACGATTCGAATACCATGATTGACCTGGTAAAATAACGCAGGCAAGAATTAATATTTAAATATATTGGCAAATCCTTAGGAAAAAGCAAAGACAAAAAAAGTTAAATCCATTTTTGTTTTTGCATTTTAATGTAAATGTTGTCATTATCTTTTCTGGCTACTAATTAACTACAGCATAATTTCTCAGATCATTGGTGTAATACCTTCCTCTTGAATTCACATAGATATTGTCCAGGCACCAAGAAATGTCTAAGAGGACCATATAGTAAAGTTGTGACTAGGAATGTTTTACATTTGGTTGTTGCCTGTTTCTCCAGTGCTGTAGAATTTGCCCACAATGTAAATTGATTCATGTGGGCAACACCCTTTATGACACTTTGCAATCTAGAAATAGCAAATCACGGCAATGTCCTCAATCAGAAACAATATGCCTGCATCGTTCCAGTGTAATTGGTCAGAAAATATCCAGTTACATTAGGGCAAAAGTGGTTCTAGTCACCACTATGCATGCTTCCAAAGGTCAAAGTGAGGCCTGCTAATAGCTAAATATGGGCTGGGGTTTTCCTACCCTGTGGTTGTGGTCTTGAAGATAAAGGGGTCAGGAAAATAGGGATGGAGCCACAGACAAGAGAAACCACTACTGACGCTCTAGTGGGTCCAACCAAAGGGGTTTCCCCTGTGATTTTACTGACTTATTGCATTAGCCCCTCTGATTTGTTTGCTTATTTTACGCTTCCAAGAATGTCTCCTTGTTGAGCTACTTTTAAGGTTTCCCAGCTCCCTTAGCAGTGCTTGTCACTGCTGATGGAGTTGCCAGCCATGTGATGTGGCCTTTCTTAATAGAGGCCACTTCTGGAAACTCGCTAAGATTGCCTCACAAGTACTGATTTGAGAGCCTGATTTGATCCTAGATTTGGGGTCCAGGAGTCCACAGGAAAATGTAGCCCCACATTTCTAAATTGTGTTGCCTTCAATCTTTAGTCTGTTGAAACAGGAACAAAGATGGGCCATTGGTTAGCCCTCAGGTATCAGCAGACATCCCATTAGCTCAGACTAAATGCCAGAAAAAGGAGAGCTTCCTAAGAATTTTGGTATTTTTTTCTTCTTTGTGCTGATTCCTAATATTCCAGTAGATATTATCAATTAGGAACAAAGTATATTCAAATCTCCCTGCCGAATCTCTCAGTGCCACAAAAGATTCCAATCTAATGAACAATAAATCACTTCATACAAGTTCTCTGCCACTGAAGGGTGCCCGAAGGCCAGTTACTACATCAATGATCTGAACATATACAAAGGCATAACAGCTAGAGTTCTATAACATGAAAGTATATCCTTTGAAGAAAGTTAAGCACGACTCCTCTGTATATATAGGGAGCACAATTTGCAGCCATTTACATTCCATTATTTTTTGTGAATGGAGGTAGCTGGTTTGACAGCATGGTGCAGCTACATTTATATGAATATAACATTTGTGTATTATACTTTTGAAGATTATATTAATTTTGGTCAATAAAACTGAGGAAAACAGATTAATTCTTAGTGAAGGGACTGGAGTAACAATCAATTAAATGTTACTCCTATATAGCAGAACAATATAATCCCTTCTGTGCCCAATCCATAAACTAATATGATTTAAACAAAAGCACAAGAGTCCAATTGAAAAAATTAACAAAGGATGTGTAAAGGATGTTTCTCAGCATAAAATGAGTTAAAATAAATGAAGAAAGAATCAAAAATTGCACTAAATCACCATCCAAATATGGAAATATTTTGCCCAATTGCTAACTAAAATTGTATCTTCTACATGAAGAATACCGCTACATTTATAATTAGAACCATTTGTTCTTACCATACCAATGAACATCTGAACTACACTCAAAATAGCAGCATTACAGCAGTACAATTCTATGAGCGATCTGTCAATATAATTGCTAAGGTCAAACATTACAAATGAAGGTCATTAATAAAAACTATAATTATTTACGTTCATTAAAATAATGTAGTGTTAATTCATTGTGACAAATTGTTTGAGTTGCAGTAATACGTAAGTCACAACGCAGCTGGGAAAAAGCAGTTATTTTAAAGTGAAAAATATAACTCGCAAACATCAAAACTTTCTTTGATATAGCAATTAAGTTAGGGATGGCCTGTGAAAAAACTTTGAGTTGGTTTAATGAAGATGAGATAGTGGGCTGGTGACATAGCTGCAGTCACTGTTTATTGCTCACAAGAATTGGGTGTTTAATAAAAATGCTGGCAACCCATCAAGAATTAATAGCTTTAATTTAACAGCCGTTTTCTCCGCCATGTTTTAAATGTTATAAGTCATCGCACATTCAAAAAGGCATCATATAAGAACTGCAAACATTCTTAGCTCTTAACATCTATCTTTAAATTTCTGCTAATAGACAATAATAGACAAGAAGTGAGATGCAATGGTTTGCAAGTTTATTTCAGAAATTTAATCACATTTTAGAAGTAACCTGCTTATTGAAAATATAATGGCCCCTACACTGAGAAGAATTGGGAAAAGTTCAGGAGTGCCCAGTTCCAGCACATGAACCTGGGAAGGCAATAAATATGGGAACTGCATTGATCATTTTGACAGGCCAAATTTGAATAAAAGTGCACAGTTTGTAACCTGATACCTGCCATTCATGATACCTGCCCATATTCACTACTTGAATGGCAGGTGGAAGTAGGAATTTGTGGTCAACCTGGGATATTGAATCATAGAGATGTCCAACACAGAATAAGACCCTTTGACCCATTGTGTCTGTATCAGTTAAAAACAACCACCCCAATATTCTAATCCCATTTTCCAGCACTTGGCCCATGGCCTTGGCACTATAACTGCACATCTAAACCTTTAGGAATGATCCCAGCAGTTAATGGGAAAAGGAACCCATTGCTCACAGTCAGAGGATAAGGAAAGTGTGGAAAGAATAGATGAGTCCGCGGGAGTATGAAAAGGAATGGATCAGACCAGCATCACGGTGGGGTAGCACAGTGGAAGAAATGTTCTTCCTAAGGCCCAGAGAGGCAGGGGTAGAAGCAAACCTGAAATATAAGTTTAAAACTCACCACCTGGCCCTTTCTGGTCCAGGATTCAGCTCCTGAAAGGTTTAGTCAGGTGGACTCAGGCATCAGGTTGAAATTGCTGTTTGCATCCTGATGGTATTAGCAGACTAGATCTGCGTATTTAAAGCAGGCACCCTCATCCTCCGAGAGTTAATATGAAGGCACAGCAAGAAGAAAATGGAACCATAGATATAAATAGATCCTGTTAATTTTATTGCATAGCTCGACTGAAGTCAGCCAGGTAGAGGACAGTTAAAATCGGAGCCAATATGTATCTGTTATGTAGGAGCAGAATTGTTTTTGGATTGAAGTTAAACATTTTTGTTAATAACAACAAATATTTTTCAGAGGTCCAATCCATGCATTTGTATGGGGTGATTTGACAACATGGCCACTTACCCTGCAAAGAGCTTCTTCCAGTCCTGCGCCTGTCATTAGAATTCCCTTGATCTTTCCACCAAACTCAGTGGCATTTACACAGACATGCAGCAAGGCCAGACCAATATCATGTCTCATTCGTCACTCACCCCATAAAGAATAGACACACTGAGATTGGAGCCCTTGGAGACCGTTATCTCCGATAGAGCATTTCAAAGAGAACTCAAAGCTATGATTCACACCTCTGGTAGGGAGAGGGTGCCTTGTGCTTCACTGTGGAGGTGACATAGTGTATTGTTCTGGATGAAAGGCAGTTCTGCAATATAACAGAAATCCTTACTAATGTGAGTAATGCTTTCCTCATTGCGATGCCATTTACTTCGCGTAGAGCAAAAAGATATTTTCCCCGAGAATGGATGCTTGCCGTGAGTGGGAGGATGAAATTTATAGTCCTTCTGTCTCTGGCACTGTGGAATGTTGCCTTCTGAGGAGCAATTGAGAAATTGCTGAGAAACATGTTCCTTATTTCTAAACAAAAAGAAGAGTCTTGCCAGGACCACCCCTTATGCCTGCTCCGGGACTTTATCACCAAAGGAAGCTTCCTGAATATTGTTAGTCTTTATGAAATCAAATAAACCTGTTTCAGCAATACTGCAATATTAGAAGCTACTCACCAGAACTGACAGTACAGATACAGCTTTAAGGTTACGCAGTGGTAATTTTTAAATGTTGGAAATAATTCTGACCTCCTACACAGTGTTTCCAATATGAGACACAGATCACACTGGGTGCACTCGTCATTTGGTAATGAGAGGGTCTTGCAAAACCCAATAGGTCCTCTTTAACCCTGACAGTTTGGAACAAACCGTTCAATGTACCCCTCTGCTGGTAACGTCCCAGGATTGGAACTCTGGTTTTAAGTTTGCTGTGGTACAGATATGAAGATTTACTTATTTACTGAAAACGAGATCAAGCATAACACTTCTTTTCAAAATACTTTTTTTGTATTAGAATTAATGCTTATAAATCTCTCTCTTTAAAAATTATTTTCCTTCTTCCACCTAGTTAGCAAGCACAGCAGAATATCAAGCATCAGTCTCCACCTAATTTGCAAGGTCATCAAAAAGGCAACAGGCAAAACCAGAGTATCCTCCTTCTCAGGCATACTACCAATTATTGTCCAACCACTATCTCCTGATCTCAGTTTCTGTGTGAAAGAAGCCGAAGAGTAACTGCTATGAGCGTGACCAACCTATCTTCACAATCAACACGTCAATCAAGTTTCAACTATGAGCGACCAAGTGATTTCATTCAATCAAAGACTAAGCGCCAACCAAAATACCAGTCTGTGTCATCTGTGGTCCCTACAAGTTCATTAGTTCACCATTCCTCTGCCTTGCAAACAAAACCCTATCATGTTGAGCAGTTACCTATCTCCTTCCAGCAATCTCAGAGCCAAAATGGGCAGCAAACGCCTGCATTATCAACAGTAAACTCTTCAATTTCTACTGCATCTTCATCATTTGATTCTAATAGAGAGTCAACTCCAACATCTCCACCATCATCTCTTAATTTTCGTTCTTCCTTTAGTCCTCAAACCTCTTCTTGCACTTCCTCAAAGCATATGTTCTCTCCTTCTATCACTCAGTCACCTGCAGCCTTTCTCAGTTCTGTGCTCCCATCCCAAAGTATTTCAGTTTCAAAAAATGAAATGCAACTGCCTACCACAGACATTGTGTAAGTATGAAATTTCCCCAAAATGATACCTCTTAGTAAGAAGTAATTTCCAGTTCAAAACGCCTTCTAATACAATGTTCATTTTAATATAATATTTCTGTAGTTTCAATACATTTTCCCGCTGTACTGTCTACTTGAATGTGTTTAATGATATTTAAATATTATTGATAACAGAAATTAGAATTTATTTTTCTTTCAGTCACTGCTTTTGAAATGTTCATTAGTTATAGATATCCCAGCAACTCTGGAAAGGTTATCAAGTCACCAAAACCGACTAGTGATGAACAAATACAAGGCTCCAAAAATGCTGTCATTCAGGACTTGGAGAGAAAACTGCGCTCTAAAAGTGAGCTTCTACATGACGGGCAGCAGGTACATGATTACACGTGTACATTTCATTTCAGGATTATTGTTCATGGATGATTTTTCCATACTGCATCTCTAGCACTATTTCTAAAATATTTCTCTGGAAGTGTAGGCTGCAAATACATATCAACATAACAAGCCTTTGATTTTTCTAATTCTAAGGCTTCAAAATTAATGTTTTGACAACAATTATATAATATCAGTTTCTGATCTATGGTTAATTAGTTGCAGAAATTGACTTCATTTTGTCACATCAAAATTAGATATCCATGCAGTAATAACCTCAGCTCCCCAAGTCTTGATTCTACACCTCAAGTTGTGATGGAAATTCAAGGCAAAGCTTGTAACTGCCTCATTAAGTACAAGAAGCAATATCATTTCATTGGGACATGTACGCTCAAATTTATTTACATCTGCTTATTTTACGAACTGAAAGAAATTTTTCAAATTAACTTGCTAGATTGATAGTTCTTTTTACCAAACGTGTTACTGCTCAGCTTTTGAACTTATTGATCCACTTCTAACATTTGGGACAAATTCCAATTTCTGATTGTTGAAAATTCATCAGTCACCAGAAAATTGTAAATTACCTTGGAAATTTGTTAATAAGAAAAGCATGTGTAAGGTTACAGCAGACAACTACCATAGTGTTTTAGACATTCAACCATAAACTTGAGAAAGATTTCAAGATTGAATATCCTATCTGGGCATTTGATGAGAAGTTACCAAGCCATTTAGGTACGAAAGAACCATATTAACATTTCAAGTGAATTGATGTATGTTAATATGTGCACCATAATGACATTAATTCTCCACACTGACATTGGAAGGCTCAATAACTCTCCAAGGCAGTTACTTAGATTACATTATCAATATAAACAATGACTTTCCTGACAAGTGATTCAAAGCAACTGAATTTAACAGCTGTGTCTAAATCGCAATCATATAGTACCTGATAAGCCAGATGTAAAGAAAGTTGGTAAGTTTACCGTTGTACCACTCCCTTTTTATAGAGAGACAACTGGTCAGGGTTTAACCTGAGGGTCACCACCAGGTAAGATCTTCATCATAACCTTAGCCAGCGCAGGATTTGAACCAACACTGTTAGCGTCATTGCATCGCAAACCAGCCATCAAACCAACTAGTACATTAATGGCTTGCTTGTCATCTGGACATTTACCGAATCAAAGCATTCCTGGAAGATTACTACGATTGCACCACTATTGCAGCAGCCAGTCCTTTAAAATCCTTGGATACAACCCATCAGGCCTAAAGAATTGAATGGCCTTTAGCCCCATTAGTTTCCATAGTACTTCTTCCTCTGGTGTGTTAATTTCCTTTCCACCACCTCCCCACTTTGCCCCTGACAATTATAGTACTTGTCGTACACTATTAGTGTCTTTTACCATAAAGACTAATGAAAAGTATTTATTCAACTCCTCTGCCATTTCCTGGTTCCCCATTGTTAATGCTTTGTGTCCAGTGACTCTTCTTCAGAACTGATAGTAGTTTTGAAAAGGCTGGTATATATGCTAGAGAAGAGGTGAGGGGAGAATGAGAAGAGTAAACGATAGGCAGTGATGGAGCCCAGAGAGAGAGAAAAACAGTTGGGCAGACAAAGGAATGAATAATGGTCAGCCTGGGAGAATGATTAGCTGCTAATGGGGACCATTAGTGGCTGACAATGGATTGCATGTGGTAGCAGTCCATGTGATGACAAAGCCTGGTGTGTGGGGTTTGGGGTAAGGAGATGGGAGAAGGTGATCAGACTCTAAAACCATCAAACTCAATATTGAATCAGAGATAGTAGGAACTGCAGATGCTGGAGAATCCGAGACAACAAGGTGCAGGGCTGGATGAACACAGCAGGCCAAGCAGCATCATAG